TTAATGAAGAGCTATTTTTGAAAACTGATTTAACTCATGATATCTTAAACATAGTCATTAAAGATATTTCTCATACATAGAAAAGTTTTCAAAACAGATGAATTTCACTTTTTGATGATGTTTATTTACAACTTCCTTACAGTGAAGTTTATTTTTCATTTTCAGAATTTTGTATGGTATTTTTTATCATGTTCTTTATCCCCTAATACTTCCCAGATCCTACTCACCCAACTTCAGGTTCTCTCTCTTACTCTGTGTATGTGTGTGTGTCTGTCTGTCTCTGTCTTTCTCTCTTTCTCGCTCCCTCTCTCAAAAGACGAGAAAAGAAAAAGTCACTAAAGACATGGGCATCCTTTTTTGTGTTAGCCAACTACTCGTGAGCATGGGGCCTGCCCTGGAATACAGTTGCCATACCCAATGTCTCTACATTGAAGAAAACTGATTTCCCTCTCCCAGGATGTATCAACTGCAAATAGCCTCCTGGTTAGGGGTTGGGCTTTGTGCCCTCCTCTTCTCAGGGCTGGAAATTTTTCTATTTTGAGCTTGTGTAGATCTTGCGTGTGCTGTCACAGTATCTGTGAGTCTGTATGACATCAGTCCTGTTGTCTAGAAGACACTGCTTCCTTGGAGTCGTTTACTACCTGTAACTTTTCCTTTCTTTCTTTTTTTTTTTTTTTGAAATCCACTTTGAAGACCAGGTTGGTCTCGAACTCACAGAGTTCCACCTGCCTCTGTGGCCCAAGTGCTGGGATTAAAGACATCACCACGATGACAGGCTTCCACCTCTTTCTGCCTCCCCAACCCGATTCCTGAACCTTGAGAGGAGGGGTGTGATGAAGATGTCCCATTCACAGCTGAGTAAAGTCTCTCATTTCTCTGTTCATTTTCCAGTTGCGGGTTACTATGTTAATTACCTTCGGCAAGGAGGAATTTCTCTGATGAGAGTTGAGTGGTGAACTGAGCTATGGGTGTAGTTATGTGTCCTTAGGAGTGGTTTTACTGCTCAGTTCATTTATCAAAATAATAGTATTGGGTTTTCCCCTTGGCCCATGCCCTATCTAGCCTGCGGTTCTTGGCCTCACTAATAGTACCGAGTGTGGGTTCCATCTAAAGGAGTGTGCCTTAAATGCAGTTTTAAAGTGGTTTGGGGTTGGGGATTTAGCTCAGTGGTAGAGCAGTTGCCTAGCAAGCACAAGGCCGTGGGTTCGGTCCTCAGGTCTGGGAAAAAAAAAAAGACAAAATAACAAAATGATCAAAAACAAAAAAAATAAGGCAACATTAAAGTGGTTTGTTGTTCCCCATTCAGCGGGGACTGGGGTAGCTCTTCTTCATTCCTGGGACTGGGACCATCAGGGCATCTGGGTAGTCCCCAGAAAGTGGCTATCATCTGATGTTCCCCAGAAGCGTTGTTGTCCATCATGACGCAGGGGCTGCTGGGTTCTGCTGGGCAACGATGGAAGCCCAGGCTTCCAGTTGGAAATGAGATCAAAGGGTCACAAGTCTCTCAGAACTGGCTGGAGTGATTTAGGCAAGGCCTGTGCACTAGGCTGGGTGTGGAAAGAGTTTTTCATGGAGTGTTAGTTAATTAGCCCTTTCAGAATGAGGTTGTCGGTATCAGAGGCAGTGGAAATTCAGGAGTTCCAGAAGCCCGTGATGATACTGAAGTGTTACAGCCCTCTGGTTAAACTGCTGTGTTAATGGCAAAGATTCAGGTGAAAGCCCATGTCTGATCAGCTTGCAGCTGAGACGCAGGCCTGGTGAGGTCCAGGCCCAGCAAGCAGGGAGGTAGGTCAGCAACTCGATGGCTGCAGAGGCAGTTCCATAGGCCAGTGAATAGCAGAAGCTCACTGCAGCCAGAAGTAGGTGGCCCACTGACCAGCAGGCAAGCCCCAGGTGGTCCAGAAGCTGCAGGCTGGGTAGGCTCTAGCCAACTTAGCTGGCAGCCAAGCCCCAGGGTTTCAGCGGTACAGCATGCAGCATCTTTATTTCATGTGAAATCAAGGATTTATAAACCTTGGACAGTGGGAGGGGTTTCTAGGTGTTCAGCCTGCTGGGGCTAGAGGTACTAGGGATACTTGATTTACAGGGAGTAGTACAGTACCCCATTTACATGTAATAGCACTGTCCTATCACAAGAACACAGCACTTAATTATCCTATGGGTGGGGGAAAGTCTCCATGTACAATTGAAGGTCATTGTTGGAAAGTCAAGACATCTTATTACCATAGGGTGGATATATCTAGAAATCCCCAGGAACTTGCTAAACAGGTTTTCTTATCAGGAAAGGGTCTGGCCTATAATCTTCTCTGAGGGTTATGTGACTCTCCTTATAAGAGCTGGGGTTGCCATATCAGGTGGAGAGAACCCAGCTTAGAAAAGAAAGTCTACCATCATATACCAGGCATGGAGACTATCTGGAATTGTCAGACTTCAGCCTTATCCAGCAGAGTTCCAGTTTGTAACCACCATAACATTTGTGCTACTATTGCACTGTAGACAGGTCTTATAGGCAAATCATTATTACAGCTTAACAAGGTTTGTAGCTGGGTGATATTGATGATTACTTTTCTCCCACAAGATCTAACTATACCAGTCTTGGGAACATACCTAAAGGACTCTACATCTTATAATAAAAGATACTTGCTCATCTGTGTTCACTGTTGCTCTATTCATAATAGCCAGAAACTGGAAATAATGCAGATGTATATCAACGGATGAATTAATAATGAAAATGGGGTACTTTTAGTCAGAATATTATTCAGCTCTTAAGAAAAATGAAATATATATATTGTATAAAACCTTTTTAAATTAATATCCACAGATAAGAGAAAACTTGCAATGTTTGTCCTTCTGAGTCTTGGTTACCTCACTTAGGACAATTGCTTCTGGTTCCATTCCTTTACTAGCAAATTTCATAATTTCAACCTTACATTAAAGCAAGAATTTAAAATGTAATAATTTATTAAAAAGAAAGTTGATTTGAATATTGAATAGTGATAACTAAAGATTGGGAAAGGCAGTGGGGAGTGGAAGGAGGAAGGCTATATTTGATTGATGCATGCTATAAATGTGTATAAAAATATCCTACCAAACCATGATAACATTATTAATGAATAGAATGTTAATCAAAAAATAATATAGAAAAGAAAATCATGAATAAACTTGCTGAGAACTGGATCCTATAAATAAAACATCACATCCACATTAAATCAAACAATAAAGCCATGAACATCAGTGTGACAACTAGTTTTTATGTGAACTTGATATACAATAAGAGTCATCTGAGAAGGCAACCTCAACTGAGAAAATACATCCGTAAAGATCAAGCTGTAGGTAGACAAGCTGTAGGTAGATACTTTTTTAATTAGTGATTGATGGGGGAGGGCCCAACCCACTGTGGGTGGGGATACCCCTGCTCTGGTGGTCCTGGGTTCTAGAAGGCAGACTGTGCCAGCCATGAGGAGCAAGCCAGTAGGCAGCAGTCACTCCTCCACGGCCTTTCCATCAGCTCCTGCCTCCATTTTCCGGCCATGACTGCCCTCACTGATGAACTGTCATGTGGGAGTGTATTTGATCATGGTATTTTAACACAGCAGTGGAAGTGCTAACTAAGACAGTCACCGTGGCAAAAGAAAAAAGTTAACCCAAACTGGATAACTCAGCAGATAAACATGCTGCCTGCTCTTCTAAAGGGAGCAAAATAGATTCCCAGCACTCACGTGGCTGCTACCCACTGCACATAGGTCCAGATTCAGGAATCTGATGCTGTCTTCTAGCCTTTGTGGGCACTGATGAAATGTTATGCAGATATGTAATATTCAGGCAAAATATCAATACACATAAAATTAAAAATAAATAAATCTTATTTTTAGAAAAGTGTAAACTGTCACAAAGTGAAATCAACTTTGTGAGCCAAAATTATCTAAATGTTTTAATTAAAAAGCCCAGATAAGGGAGGTCCTCCTCCCCTTCCATTAGACCCTAGTCTATCAGGTATCATCAGGACTGGCTGCATTGTCCTCCTCCATGGCTTGGCAAGGCTGCTCCCCACTCAGGGGGAAAGAGATCAAAGAGCCAGTCACTGAGTTCATGTCAGAGACTGTCCCTGTTCCCCTTACTAGAGAACCCACTTGGAGACTGAGGTGCCATGGGCTACATCTGTGCAGGGGTTCTACGTTATCTCCATGCATAGTCCTTGGAGTATCAGTCTCAGAAAAGACCCCTGTGCCATAAAGAGTGAATAAAATGTAATTAATATAAAAAACTAAAAATCTAATAAAAAAAAAAAACGCAGAAAAAAAAAAGCCCAGAGTCAAACAGTACAGAAGGCCGCCATGCTGAAGGCAAGTGTGACTTCCGACACTATGATGCACTTCCGTTCTGTGTGTCCGTGTGCATTCAAATGGAGACTTCACTTCCAACGAGTATTCCAATGTGGATTCCAACATGCCGTGTGGGTTCCGGCCAAAAACCTTGACTCGGGACCCAGATAACTCCACAAAAGCTGGGATTTTAAAACAGCATCATCTGAGACAGGGGAGTGAGTACCAGATCCAAAATAACCTGGAGAACTCTTACTTCTTTCTGTGCTCCCCAAACCTACCAACAGTTAGATCAGTACCCAAAAAGAATGAATATCGCACTCTCTCTTGCAGCTTAATTTTACACTGATTTTGTTTACATTTTTAAAAGATAAGGGGTTGAGGGCATTCAGGCAGGACGTCGGTGACTTTTCTAATCACTACGTGTGACACCTTCTAGTACTGTCAAAACCAATGCAATTATGCTTTGTAATAATAGAGGTAACGAAGAAAAACAAAGTAAATGTAAGGTTCTATATTTGTAACTGCATTTGAACTATAATTTTATTTAATTCCATGTAGTGAACAAAAAAGTCAATCCACTCTATGTTGGGCTAAATATAAAATAAATGTGGGTTACACATACAACATGCTAGTCCCACATAGGTTCACAGAGCTGATGTGCCGAGCTCCTGCTGCTTACCACTCAGCCTCACCAATGGCTTTTGCAAACACATAGTCTTTCCCTCCAAAGCACATGACGCCATCTTTTAAGAAGAATTTCCATTTGTTCTTGCTGCGGTGAATCTGGAGAGAGAAAGATACTCTAAGTCCACACGCTAGAGGATTATATATATTCTTTAAAGTGGCAAATTAGATTATGCTGACCTTAAATAGAAGAACCTCTCAAGAGAGATTATTTACTCTTTGGCAAACATTTGAGTTCCCTTAAGCCAAATACTAGTTTCAGTGCTGGAGATACACCAGTCATCCATACACAATGGGAACCATCTCTCTATTCCACAGTATCCCTAGCCACACAGTCCCAAGGCTGTGGACTGCTCAAGTCCCTTATAGAAATGGCTTTATGTATTTCATACCTATGCACTTCCTCCTGGAAGATTTACATAATCTCTAGGCTATTTGTAACAGATAACGCAATACAAATGCTTTTAAGTAACAGTAACACTGAACTGTTGAGGAAATAGTGACCAAAAATAAGTCTGCACATGTTCATGAAACATGTAATTCTTTTCAAATGTCTTTAATCCATGTGGTTGGATCCATAGAGGAAACTGGGACTGACCGTAGACTTTAATGTATTATGAATGTAAAAAATTCCTGCTTTGAAGAGCTTATATTTTAATGGAAAGGGAGACAAAAACCTGATAATTGCCATTTTCTATCTATATAAAATGTTTTAAGGACTAAGTTGAGTTTGTTGAAGAGTTTGTTTTTATAACAACTAAAACATTATCCTCTGTTTTCTTTATGTATATCAAATCATGATTTAAAAACAGCAAAGATGTTAATATCTACCTCATACACACTAGGATGTCAAGAATCTAATCATCAGTAGTAGCAAGGACGTGGGTGTCCCATGTGCTGGTAAGAATGTCCCCTGTACATACAGCTCCCCTTTATTTCTCCTCTGTATCAGGCATCAGGTGTATGCTCCGTCTGCCTTCTGTCTCTACCCCCATGGTACTAATCATCAACCCTGTTTCAAAGGCCCCCACTGCCCATGAGGGGCTCATGAAGAATCCAAGAGCAAATGGTTTCTTGTGCTTCCTTGACACTTTTAGGCCTCGCCGTGTGCCATGTGTCTTCCGGTTGGATTCGTGTGACACCAGCACTTGCTCGTACTGTCGCAGCATTTGCCCCACTCTACTCACACCTGACTTGCTTGCCATCTTAGCATGTGCAATTTCTTTTTCTATGAGAAAAACTGTGTTTGAATAAGACTGTCTCCTCAAGACAAGACTATCATTTAGGGGCTGCGGGTGTGGCTTGGTGAGAGCTCAGGGCAAAGCCTACTGGGGGCTGGGCGAGGCTAGCAGCTTAGAGCACTTACACAGCATGTGCTACATCCTAGGTTCAGTCCCCAGAACCACGCTGGGGGGGAGGGGCGGTCACTTTCAAGTGTCCCTATTCCACACAGTACACAGTGGGAGATCCAATACACCCCCTCAAAACAGAACTGGGCTGTAGGAATGCTCAGTGGTTAACTTGGTTGCTACACACACATAAGGACCTGGTTTTGAGACCCAGATCCACAGTAAAAGAAGCTGGGCACAGTGGTGCAGACTGGTCATCCCAGTGCCAGGGAAGCAAGCATGGGCAGATCACTGGGACTTGGTGGACAGCCAGCCCATTTGGTTAGCTTCAAGCCAATGAAAAGCCCTTCGCTAAAGCAAGGTAAAGAGTGCCTCAGGAACTACATCAGTGGCTAGCCTCTGTCCATGCACACCCACACATATGTACATACACACATGCACCCATACACACATGTACCCACACACATACACAGGTGCACACACACGCACATAATACACACCTACACATATGTGCACCCACACCCACAAGTACCCACACACGTGCTCGCCCACACACACGTGCTCATCCCACACACACATGCACACAGACACACAGAAATATTTCACAAAATTAAACAGCTGCTCCATGAGTCACTTGACCGTGAACTGGAACTCACTATCATATTTTGCACTGTTTTATGTACCTTCCAGTCTAAGTTCAATTAATAAACCCAAAGTCCAAGAAGTGAACTCGGTACCTTATCATACTGACAGACAATTATATTATCTGTGTCAAACAGGTCTGGCACATCCTGCTCACTGACATCATCTCCAGAATTTAGAGGATCCTAAAGATGAAAGATGATCACATTAACGGATTTCATGATGCTTCAAATTTTTTTTAAGGATAGAAAGACATAGATGAAAAAGGGACCTGAAGAGACAGAATAGTACTTCTGCTTTCAGTCAAGTAATCTAGCTTTGCATTCCAGACTGACCACTTCATAATTACATGCTTGACCTCAAGCAAATTACCCAAACTCCCTGTATCTCAGTTTTCTCATCTATTAAATGACAAGTTCAATGAGACCCACAGGATACTGGGACTGTTAAAGATGGTAACTCAGAAGAGACATTGCCATAAGCAGAGAGTTCAAGGCAGCCACAGTGAGAGGCCACAGCCCTCACAAACTTACCACATTTACTCAGACTTCATCACATTTATTAGAAAAGGGACAGACTCTTGTCTCCCAAGCCCCCTACTATATCTGCTTAAAAGCAACAGACATAAATCCAGTTCCTAACCACTTAATACCAGTTTAAATCACAGTTTAAATCTGAAGTGTTATGGTCCTGCACACAAATAACTCTGATTTTAAAAGACTAAAGACACAGTTAATCTGAATTAGAATTATAGTTTGTTGTGTAGTACATGGAAGCACGAATTCTGTTAGATAATAAGCCGAGACTCAGCTCAGGAGGGCACCTCACCTCCTCCATGGTGTCTACTTGATGATCTTCATTGTCACTGCTACTTGCAGTTGAATCTTCATTTGATACACTGTCTGCTTCTTCCTCAAGCAACTTGAGGTCGCCTGCTTCAATGATCCCCGGGAATTCATTCTCATCCACATCTCTTACACTTCCCACTTCTTCAGTAGAAGAGTTATCACCAGTTCCATCTATTTGAATTATTTCATTAATATCATCATCAGTTACCTGAATATTCAGGTCTATCTCAGAAGTAGAATTCTGCAAAATGAAGAGGCACAATCAAGTTCTTCAAGTCAAATGAGGCATTAAAACATTGAATCTCAATCACAAATGACTGGCAAATACCACACAAGAGACCATTTAAACTTATCTCTGCCTTCTAAGATCAGCCTCTCAATCTGGAATTCTGGGATATCTTTAGCATTTCTAACAAGTAAATACATAAACAAACTACCACACACCGGCACCAAATGATATCACTGCTTTCACAAAATATTTGCTAGCTTTTATATACACACTTGGATATAACTGAGCCTTAACTATTACACTTGATTACAATGGCAAATGAATGACATAGAGAGACAATTACATGCTCAAGAAATGAATGCAAATTCCAAAGGACTACATGGGTCAAAGGAGCCAATACAGAACAGCTATATTATTTCACTTAACCTGAGATGCCTATTGTAGAAATGTTCATAGAGACAAAAGTAAAACAAATACTACCAAGGCATGGGAGGAGGAGATGGATGAAGGAAGGGAGTATTGTCTTAGTTATGGTTTTTATTGTTATGAAGAGACACCTTAACTACGGCAACTCTGATAAAAGAAAATGATGCAGGATATTTAATCCCATTGTGAACCCCGAGATTGTGAACTATAAACACCTGTTTCTAATTGTGGTATGGCTCAGACTTTGATTCTAGAGTTTCCTGTTTACTGTAAACAAGTACTTGTGGTGTGACTCAGCCCTAGCACACACCTTTCATCCAAGAGCTAAATAAAGTCAACCATAGGTCAAGAGGTGGAGCAAGGAACCAGGTGACAGAGATTGAACATTAAGTAAACAGAAAAGAGGGCCACTGAGGAGGAGGGTATTTAAGACAGCGTGGAGAAAGAGAAAGGGTTTATTTCTTCTGGGACCTGAGCTGAGTAGGAAGGGATTTTTCCTTCTGGGACGTTGTCTAAGTAGAATGGTCAGCTATGTGCTTTCTCTGCCTCTCTGAGCTAGCATCTAGATCCCAAGTATTTATTGGTAAAATCATTCATGTGAGATTTTGTTTTGAAACAACAAGAAAACATTTCATTGGAACCAGATTAGAGTTCAGTGGTGTAGTCCATTTTCATCATGGTGAGAAGCATGGTGGAGGCACACAAGCAGACATGGTGCTGCAGACCTAGCAAAGAGATCTACATCCAGATTAGCAGTCACCAAAAACCAATTGAGTCACCAGGCATGGCTTGAGCATCTGAGACTTCAAAGTCACTCCCAGTGACACAATTCCTCCAACAAGGCCACACCTACTGCAGCAAGGCCACATTTCCTAATAGTGCAACTCCCTAGTGGCTTGTGGGGCCATTTTCATTCAAACCACTACACATATCATTTAATGTTTAAATAAGGCACCAGTCTTCATTTAAGATTAAAAAAAAGAAAAAAAAAAAACTTCTAGAAATAGATAGTGATAATAGAAGTAAATTTTATTACTAGCTGAATAGATAACTATAACTTTTATCATTTTCTCTCTCAAATAGAGCTTACAAGAATATGATAAATATTTTGTGTTTTCTAATTTAAATCTAATTGCAACATACTGAGATAAAACGCTATGGCTTACAAGACCACAAAGGCTGCAAAGAGTGAGACAGAATTAAAGTCCAAGTTTGATTATAGAAGGGTCACCTCAAGCACAAAATATGCCTTCCCATTAGTCTGACACAGTAGACTAGAGCTCCTCCAAAAGCCCAAGTGTGTCATAGGCAGGGAGGAGTTCTCCAAACCTTCAAGCTTTATAGCAAGAAGAGGTACTTTATGTAACCAAAACTACCACAGACTTTACAGTTGAATTCTCATCTTTTTGCAAAATGAGCCCCTGAAGAAACTAATCAAAGTGTATACATTTAAAAGGGAATATGCATTATGGGCATGGTTGAAAGGTATTTTTAAACCTGGATTAGTATTAGGGAAACTAAACTACAGATTAATGTATTCAGCCACAGTCTTCAGATGTATAACATGTTCATAAGAGACTTAGGCCCAACATGAGCAGAGTTGCAAAATGATAAGTGATTTTTAAAACTCCTCTCTTTTGTGAAGATGACTAACATAAATGCTGGTTTTTTCTCATTAAAATTATTTTATGTGGATTTAATAACTTATTTTAATGAGTGAAAATAATTTTTAAATTAATAGAAGTCCAGATCTGGTGCTGCATGCCTCCAGCCTCAGCACTTTGGGGTCTAAGGCACAGAACGTCTTGGGAGCTCAAGGCCACAGTCTCAAAAATGAAAACTTGGTTGGCTGGAGAGATGGCTCAGCAGTTAAGAGCTCTGTCTGCTCTTCCAGAGGTCCTGAGTTCAATCCCCAGCAACCACATGGTGGCTCACAACCATCTATAATAAGATCTGGTGACCTCTGGCATCTACATGTTCATGCAGATAGAGCATTCATATACATAAAATAAAAATAAATAAAATTTAATAAATAAATTTAATAAATAAATAAAATTAAAAAGATGAAAACTTGGGAATGAGCTGCAGGTTGCATAAGGCAGCACTTGGACATGCTGGCTGTATAGGAATCTGGTGGACAGGTGGAAAAAGATGATCTAACCAGGGCTACTTCAGCTATCAGACTAAATGCACAAGTACAGAGCAAGGCACAGAAAAGATGGTTATCAGACCTCAAAGAGACTTCACACCTCAGCCTGGGAAACTGTTGCAATCTTTAAGGTCACTGAACCTAGGAAGCCTTCCAAAGGGGCCCAAGAAGCTTTATTATGGTTTGAACAAATACAGTTTCTCCATACTCCTGTGTTTGTAATGTACAAACAATACAATTATACACTTTAATGCATCAATTTAAGATACTACTTTAACATAGGAAATAGCTTATTTTTTAGTGGATGACTGTGCTTCTGAGATACATATAAATATTCTTTACAATGAATCCTCACAAAGTACAATTTAAAAATAATCTTACATAGAAGATTTAATATTAGTAAACACACACATAATTAGTTCACATACAATTAACTTTTACAACATTGGAAACAAACTTCCTTCACACACATATTGAAGGTTCATCATTTATGCAGAAGTAAATGGTTATGGTGTGACTGAAATATAAATAAGTCTAAATTATAGAAACAAGATAAGAAAACAATATGTACTCATATACAAGAGAAATACCACTGTCACTTATGCTATAAATACTAAAAAGAATGTCTCTGCCACACTGTCAAAGAGAAGAAACTAAACTACCACATCACAGCTTTGCTTGATACCATTAAAGAAATTTATCCTGAAGTCCAGGACACTGAAGGATAAACAGTCTTTGGATGTATGGAAAACACAAATACATCTCTCTGTGAGAAGAATGTAGATACTGTGTTCCCAACAAGATCTCTAACCATCAATAAAAAAAAAAAAGCAAGAAAAGACAACTATATAAGCAGGAAGCCAAGCAGGAGAATCATACTATGATTTATGTTAAGCAAGCTGGTGAAAAACGTGGGCAACATGAACATGGTTGTACATGGAAATTCCCTCAGACATATGGAAAATACAAGGCAAACAGACATTCTAAAACTAAAAAAACATCAAAGTAAAAATTCCCTCTGAAGGAGCCATCAGTACATGCAATATAGACAAAGGAAGAATCAAAAGCATGCAGAAAAGAAAAAAACACAGAAACAACCAACAAATAGTTTAATAACTATCCCAGATATAAAACACACCCATACAAAGCCGTAGGCTAGACCAAGTTAGCAAGACCCGATAGCATCCTGTCTATAAGAAACTACTTTAAATATAACCAGATCAGTTAAAAGTATTGATGACTGGTGAGATGGCTAGTGGCCTGCTGCCCAGCATTGTAGAGAAACTTTAATCCAGTAACATGGCTGCTCTGACAAGGGATCATGTCTAAAGACCTTCTAGGTCTAAGTGGTCTGGCTTAAAATGTAGATACAGCCTTGATTACAGTATGTGACTGTAATACCGATAAACCCTTAGCACACATCTTTAATCCCAAACAATGAAAGTAAGTTTAGTTTATAAGAAGGAAGCAGCCATGTTTGTTTGAAAGTGATATCTAAGTGAGGGCAGACAAAGTGACTGGATGTTCAGAGCAAGATTTGACAGAGTGAGTCAGAGATAAGATACACCCACCTGTCGCGAGAACAGCACAGGAAACAGCGGCTACTTAAGAGCAACATGGCGAGTTTAGAGTAGTAGGAGTAGTATGTGGCAGTTTTACTGGACAGTTTTACAGAGACAGGATACAGAGAGAATGGCCCAGAAAATGAGAAGGAGCCATAAGATTAAAACGTATTGCCAGAGTTAGTTTTAGGACAAACAGAGCAATTGAGTCAGAAGCTGAAAGAGAAGCTAGGTTGAATCAGTCAGCTTGGAGAGATGTTTTGGCCAAAACATCTGAGTTGAACCAGCCAGCGAGAGTTCAAAAAGAGCTAGCAAGGGTGAGTTTATTCAACACCAAGTCTCAGAGGCTAAAACATTCTAGGCCTGGGTTAGCAGATGAAGGCTGAAAGCCTTTAACGTCCAGGTTAGCAGAGGATTAGGTTGTACATAGCCTAGGCCTAGGGATAGTAAGAACGGAGGAACAAATGCTCTGGACTCAGCCCAAGCTATGTACTTATACAGCTTGGGCACAGCTCTCGTTCACATCCTATCATCTGAGGAAATAAAAATGTTTACAAAGCCTGACAAAGTGAGATTGATTCTGGGACCTACATAGGAGAAGGAGGAAACCTACCCCTGCAAGCTGTCCTCTGACCCCACACATACACCGTAACACATACCCACTAACGTCACAGACAGACATCTAAATCAGGAGAGACAACATGTGCCATGCAAACACTGGTCAAACTAAAACTAAAATGAGGACATGTGTCTGGGAACATGGAATACTACAATGACATATAAGAATACTATCCAATAATAAAAGGGTCCATTGGAGAAGAGAACAACAATCCTAAGATTTCATGCATCTATCAATACTATTAATATTGCTTCAA